GAAATCCAGTAAGTTTCAGCTGTACATTTTAACAGTAAGGCGTATATATATTTACACTGTATGTTCACCTCCCATAGTTAGATTTCTTTCTGTCACCACATATTTGACCCTATTTACCCCATCTACCTTCCCCTTCCTACCCCCTCCCCTGGTAACCACTAGTCTATAGTCCATGTCCATGAGTCTCTGTTTGTTTGTCCTGTTCATTTGTTGCTTTAGGTTTATGTCCCACATAAAAGAGATTTCATGTGATTTTCAACTTTTTCTGTCTGATTAGCTCAAGATTCGTCCATGTTGTTGCAAATGGCAGCATTTCATCTCTTCTTATGGCTGAGTAATATTCTATTGTATATATGTACCACATCTTCTTTAGCCAATCATCTATTGTAGGACACTTCAGTTACTTCCATGTTCTGGCCAGTGTGAATAATGCTGCTATGAACATTAGTGTGCAAATATCTTTTTGGATATGAGTTTTCAAGTTTCTGGAGTAAATACCCAGTAGAGGGATTGCTGGATCATATGGTAGATCAATTCTTAATTTTTCGAGGAACCTCCATACTATTTGCCATAGTGGCTGTACCAATTTGCAGTCCCACCAGCAATGTATGAGTGTTCTTTTCTCTGCATCCTCTCCAACATATGTTATTACTTGTCCTGTTGATTATAGCTATTCTAACAGGTGTGAGATGGTATCTCATCGTGGTTTTGATTTGCATTTCTCTAATAGCTAGCGATGTTGAGCATCTTTTCATATATTTGTTAGTCATTTGTGTATCTTCTAGGGAGAAGTGTCTGTCCAGGTCCTCTTCCCATTTTTTGATTGTATCTTTTTTGTTGTTGTTGTTGTTGTTATTGATTTGTATGTGTTCTTTGTATATTTTGGATATTAGGCCCTTATCGGAGGCATTACTTGCAAGTATATTTTCTCATTTGGATGATTGTCTCTTTATCTTAATGATGGTTTCTTTTGCTGTTCAGAAGTTTTTTAGTTTGATGTAGTTCCATTCATTTATTTTTGCTTTTACTTCCCTTGCCTTTGTTGTCAACTTCATAAAATCCTCTTTAAGTCTAAGGTCCTTGAGTTCTGTTCCTATGTTTTCTTCTATGCATTTTTATTGATTCCAGTCTTATATTCAGGTCCTTAATCCATTTTGAGTTAATTTTGGTGTGTGGTGATAGACAACAGTCTAGTTTCATTCTTTTGCAAGTAGCCTTCCAATTTTCCCAGCACCATTTATTGAAGAGGCTTTCTTTTCTCCACTGTATGTTTTGGCTTTTTTGTCAAACATTACTTGCCCATATAAATATGGGTTTACTTCTGGACTCTCAGTTCTGTTCCACTGGTCCGTGTGTCTGTTTTTCTGCCAATACCATGCTGTTTTGATTATTGTCACTTTGTAGTATAATTTGAAGTCAGGCAGAGTGATACCTCCAGCCTTGTTCTTTTTTCTCAGAATGGCTTTGGCGATTCGGAGTCTTTTGTGCTTCCATACAAATCTGTATAATGCTTTAGGTAATAAAGTCATTTTAACTAGGTTGATTCTTCCAATCCAAGAACATGGAATATCTTTCCATTTCTTTGAATCTTCTTCGATTTATTTTAATAGGGTCTTATAGTTTTCATTTCTTTCTATCTTTCTTTGATACATGAAACACTTTGATGAATGGAAAAGAAGATCATTTATAGTGGTAACATCATCTCATAATCATACAGCTAAATCTGGCATTAGGCAGCTTCAGGTTCAAAATCTAGTTTCATTGGTCATATTACTTAACTTCTCTAAATTTTAGACTTTTAAACTTTAAAGTGGAGATGATAAGAGTCCTTACTTCAAAGGGTTGTTTTAAGGATTAAATGAGATAATCCATGTTAAGTGTTTGTTACACTGCCTGACACAGGGAAATTGTTCATTACAAAGTAGCAATCTGGCAAGAAGGATATCAAAATGACTCTTCCTGTTGTGGGAATGGCTATGAGGCATAGCCTATTAAGGGATGATTTGGGATGAAATGATAAAGCAATACTTTTGCTACTATGAGCTGGCTGTTTGGGATGCTTAATGATGCCAATGATACTTCTCCCTTTAGTTTATGAAGCTGGTGTTCTACCTCTAGAGGAAGATCAAATTGTGCTCAACCAGTAAAGCAGTAACCTTGAGATTTGCAAACTCTGAATCTCTGTGGGAGAGATTTGCACACCATGTGGTTTTGAAATTCCTCAAGTGACTCTCAGGTGTGCAGCCAGGCTACTCAAGGGGCAGTTGATAGATGGGCAGTATTGGCGTCACCTGGGAGCACATTAGAAATGAAGAATCCTCAGGACTAGTATCATTGTTTGTGAAAATGTAACATGCTAATGAATTATGTAGAAGACTTGTTAAATTGCAAAAAGTTGGGTCTTGCAATTCCACATTTCTCAAAATCTCCCAAGTGCTCCCTATGTTCCTGAGCCATGACTCATACTTTAAACAAGACTGAGGAAAATTTCTGAACTTCCTAGAAAAGAGGAACCATAGCATACAAAGGTGCTATTGAAATTGGAATTTTTCAACTGAAGTGTGCAGTAACATTTGGATCTCCCTCTGCCTTCCAAGGACATTTGAATGCATTTCATTTCTCCTGTTTGAAATTAATGAATATTTCCTTTCTTGCTT